GACGCCGGCGCCATCATGTTCGAGCCCATGCCGTTCGGATTAAGCGCGTCATATGCCGTCTGCCGTGGGCTGACGGTGGTGGTCGCAGCTTTCCTCGGCAGGCTGAACTCTTTAGCGTCGGGATTCAGACCTTTCTTTGGCTTTTCTTTGTTCGAGGTGAACCAACGGCGCGAGACTGCTTTGTCTGCCACGGTCGAAGGTGCGGGTTCGTCTTCCTTGCCAGATGTAGGGTCCGAGTGGGTGCGGTGAACTAATGGTACACGCTGCATGTCCATGAGGCTTTCGGATGACATATGGTATTCGCGCTCTCGTGCAGGCGGCGACGTAAGGACGCGCACTTCAAACGGATCGCGTTCGTAATCATTCGCGGACGGGCCGTGGAGCGAAGCCGGGGACACAGTAATTGGTCCAAAGCTCGGACTGGTTTGACTGTCAGAGGCTTGCAGATGCTGCGAACGAGCTTCCCTCCACTCTTTATCCATGAAAGCGTCACTATCAGATTGGAAAGACCTGGGAGACCCATCCCCGCTGTCGAGCGAGGAGATTAGACCGGAAGGGATCAGGGATTGACTGGTCGGCGACATTAGGGCTGGGGGAACCGGGGAATCCATGACTATATCGGAACCGCAAAGGTATGCCCCATCTTGCATCGTAATTAGAGCAAAGTTGACAAGTGCATTGACTGAACCATATACCAGAGGTGAACTCAACAGTGTATTGCTCCGAAACTCGCCTGATAAGTTCGGACTCTGTGGGGATTGTTTCCTCGTTCTTTGGGAAAAGAATGAACAAACGGATGAATTGTGAGAAATAGCACACACCTTACGCAATGCAGACATCCATTCATCGTCATGGGTGACCGCTGCCATTATACCGGAGGGAGACTGTTGTGTACAATAATGAGTAACGAGGCTACACTTTCGAGCCTTGAAAATTCACAGAGGCGAGAAGGTGCTTGTTAATGGCATCGGCGGGGTGATACGGCTAGTTGCACGTCAGCAAGCGGTTTAAAATCCGGGAGATGTACAAACTCGGGTAGTTCCAGGAGAATATTCGACGGTGTCGCTCTCTTTATCCTGCGGGGCATTGCTTTGGCCGGAACTTGTATCACGAGAGATACCACGAGTACCCAGCGATGGAGATTGGACAAATGAGGTAAACCACCGTCTTGAGAAAATCGTAAGAGACTTTGAGTCTACAACCGGGATAGCTTGCGATATTTTTTTCCAGGCCAACGAATGTATGGCAATTCTGAATCCACGCACGAACACCGTTTGATTGCGAGTCGACGATTCTTCACCGGGAAGTCGACGCGGTCCCGAATCTGCAAATCCACTCGCGGACTCCCACTGCCACGCGTACGAGCCACCTGCCGACCCGATCTGAGAGGCTTTGAGTTTCAGAGAAATGCTGGAGTCCTCGGAGTGGTTATCCACCGCCGCCACACTCCACGACGAGGACTTGTCGACACCAGTGACAAGGTACAATTCGCCATTCTCCACCATACTCCCAAGACTCTTCAAAAACGCGTACCAATTTTGGGCGTGCTTCAGCGCTTGTTGTCTGAATATGTCCAAAAAGCGTAAGTTAATACGTGAGGCCCCCTCAGGCATCAGAAGGACGGCTGCCTGTTTCGAAGAGCTTGATATTTCAACAACCGCCCCTGCTCCTACCGGCGAAAACCTGTATAAAATGCGGATCCGGAATCAGGGGCGAGACCAAGGGACAGAAAATTATCACTTGCACATTATCCAAATCGGTGTTCACATCCAAACGCCGCTTATTGATTCTCGTATTGGAGACATGAGATCCTGGGCGGTGATACGACACCATAGAAGAGACATCTTCAGGACCTAGGTCGACAGTTTCAAATTCAAGAGGAACACCAAAACGATTGACGCGGTCGTTGCGTGCTCGGCAAATGTTGAAGAATACATCGAATGTTCCGTCGCATGTCAGAACTCCAACGTCCCCAATGAGGATACCCTTGGCTCGGGATTCGGGAGGAAGATCATCAGGTGGCTGGGGATAGGACAGCGGATAACCGTGGCCTTTTGCAAGGAGTAAACGGCTGTAAAGATCGCGGTCCGTCATGGTGTTCAAGTGAGTGGGCAGGTACAAATAGAGTCGGTATGCGGGGTGATGTCTTTTGAGCTTCAACGGCGCGTGCTGGGCACGTGTGTTTCATGTCGGAGATAGCCATTTATCGGAACTATGAGAAGCACTATTCAAGTTAACAGCAACACAGCCAACCGCAGTTCGATCTTTCATACTTTACGCTACTGATGTATTTTTTTTGAGTAGCGTGCCGAGAAGCAATGGCTTGGCACTCACACAAAGCAATAGTCCCTTCCGGTGATTTTGCTCAAAGACCGTAGGAATATTCCGACAGAACCAAACCAAGGGACCCGGACTTGAATTTTTCATCAGCGATTCGGGGAGTGGCGAGGGAACGCTGAGCTGATAGCTATCGACCAAATGCTTCTCAAAAATGTATAGAGGTCGGACTATTGCAAAGTACTGCCCGTCGGGGTGAGGGTTTTTGTTATCTGTTGACGTATCTGGAGGGATTGCTGTTCCTTTCGTAAGTGGCGCTACTTAGTACTAGTATACAGAGCTGTGCTCTATTTCTGCAGACTTATTGTTGCCCGGAAGCAGATGTCCGATTTCTGTCCTTCGATGCTCGTAGAACCGCCGGTGACAGGACCATCTCCATTCCTTGGAGATAGTGCTGGCACTGAACATGAGAGGAGGAGAGAAGGCGAAAACACAGCCACCGCCAACCCGGCCCGGAACTTCCGCCTCTTGCTTTCGATCACACCGATTTTCGCCCTTGGTCTGTTCGGAGATTCAAGTTGCTAATCAGACTACACTGAAAATGCGGTCTCTTTGTCTTCCTTTTTCACTATAATCAATTCATTGCCCGTCAAAGATGCGGGAATGAAAGTTTGATGAAAGTTCTGCTTTGCAAGTTTGAAAGAAAGCATGAAGCCACGCGACCTTAAAGTGAAATTAACGGTATATTATTATTCCACGACTCTTTTCTGCAGTGGAATTTCACAGTCACTCACTGCCGCGCGGCTCAACATGGATGCGCCTCAGCCTCTCTCAGCCTTCTGTGATTCGAAATTTCACGAATGGGCCTGGTATGTACAAACTTGTTCCTGCAAAATTTATCTCTGAAGATTCGAATGGCCTGAACCTCTAAATGCAGGCACATTTCCCAGGCCTAACCGCACGCGTAAAGTTCACGATCAGCACCACAGGCGTCTCTTCGCGTTCCATCAGATGAACCACACGACGCCTCTGGCCGCTAATTTCTGGCATCTGTACGCTCGTCCGCGCGGACCAGGTGCGCATGCACCTGGTTTGAACAGCAATACAGTTATTGGCGTATGTATTGGGTCCTAGGAGTCCCAGGCGCCGTCTAAGTTCGGGACCTCTAACGCTCCTCGACTCCGAGGCTGGCGGATAGTTGTCCTTTCTCCTCATTCTATCCTCTTCCCCTTAATATACCTTTTATTTTGTCTGCCATCTGTCTAATTCTACTGACGCTGTACTTGTGCGCCTCTCTGACGCGAGGATGGTCTGCCGTTCTGCGACGGTGTACATCATAGACAAAATCACTTTGAACTGGTTAGGTCAATGCAACCGTCCGCAAAATATGTGCCACACCTTCTGATTTATCGTTCCCACCAGATTTTGTCCGTGTCCGCTTCAGGCAGGGTTAATTTAACAGTATATTTTCAATTCTGGAACACTTAAAGCCAACTGTAGATTCCGAAGACTTCAGATCAACTAGCTGATTTCGACAGTCGGCAGGATCGGTTTCGTGTATATCCTCCCTTCAATTGGGTGGTCTGTACCAGGTGGGGATGAAAGCCTTCTGAGCTACCGAGTGCTACTTATTTAACAGTATTATTCGATGACTTTGAACATGCCCGAGATCGCCGAGGGATATTGATAATTGAACTACACGGCTGGAAGTGGACTGGTGTTCTTGACCAGGCAAGGGTGGGCTGTTTAAACTCGGTTGCGAACTGAAAAACTATGCTAGCGGTCCGACATGTTTGTGAACCGTTTACAGCCGTTGTCAGTACCGAAGGCGTGAATCAAAAAATTGCCGTTTTGGGCATTTTCTGATCCCCGCCACCGATTTGCCTATATCTCGGTGACTTCTGCACAGATTGACTTGAAATGTAGCTAGATAATTCGGGATAATCCAGCTGCTATTAGTGATAGAGAGATATCTGAAAAAATCTTTTGTTGTTTACCATCTGTCATATCAGGCTTCTCCAGCAATGGATCCTGAATACAGAGCCCAAATCTGGCCCGAATGAGCTGCATTTTTGGGAGGAGGCATTTATATGTGTACTGAGTGAGATGATAGAGCCAAATTATGAATACATCACATACCTAGAGTCATTCTTTGTTTGCTACCCAAAACACACCCCCGAATGAGACAGGAAGGGCAGGAAATAAATTCCTCATAATTTTAGCTCTACCACTTCATTCAATACATAGATTAGTACCCCCTCCCAAAAATCTAGGTCGTTTGGACAGGATTCCAGCTATGTAGCCAAGGTCTATTGCCCGCAAAACCCAGTGTGACATATAGTGCACAATAAAATATTTTCCTTTATGTCTCTCTATCACTAATAGCGGCTGAATTAGCCCGAATTATCTATCCAAGTTTCAAGTCAATCCGTGCAAAACTCATTGAGATATAGGCAAATCGGTCGCGGACATCAGAAAATGCCCAAAACGGCAATTTTCTGATTCGCGCCTTCGGTACTGACATCGGCTGTAAATGTGCAATCGGACGTGATCAGTTCAAGTCAAACTTGAATTCGAGCTTCCGTGAATTGAATGGACAGTACTTGATAGTATTAGTAAAACAGTAGCTAGCTCCAAAAATCGGTTCAAAGCTAGGCATTGTTACTCCTAGTCTGGAGACGTGTTATTTAAACAAAACAAAAAAATCGAGATACACAGATGCATGACCTGACCCGGATTCGAACCGGGGCCTTCTACAGACATACTTATGCCACTCAGACTTTAAGCAGACGCACTAACCAACTGTGCCATCAGGTCATTTCTGATTTCGTTCAACTTCAAGGTAGAGGACCTCCAATCAACCGGCATCCGCTGCGAAGTTGAAAATGAAGAACGGGAGCCTGAGGTTCCAGAAGCACTGCTGCAATAGTAAAACCAAAACAGCCACCAATCGAATCGGGGACTTTGGTTGAAATTTTATACAGAGACCGTACTTTGAGTAGATGCACTGAATCTTCCAAACTGAATATCAAATTAAATATTTCAGTATTCCTGGTACCGGTTACGGACCCAGGTCTCAAACGCGAATTGTCGAATCTCCAAATCACGACCATCAGTGATCCCATCAGGGAAATTCTCGAAAATAATTAAATAACTGCTCCGAACAATTGTAAACTCCTGTCTCCTGCCCTAATAACCCGTCTCTCCTGACGTATGAACCTCCTGTCTGCGCCAAAAACCATTTTTTTGTATAATTTAATTAAATAAATATTCAACAATAGAATCATCCCTGTCCCCTATCGTGCAGTGTCGTTCTCCTGTTTGCCTGTCTAACGTCGGTCAAACCCTTTCCCTCGCTCCCTGCACAATAGGTGGACATCGGGAACTCAGAGCTCACTGCTTCCCTTCAACCACTATCTCACTATGTCTTCAGCCTCCCATCGTCCTTTCGTAATGGAAGTCGATGAAATCGACCCTTTGGAAATAAGGAACGCTGGTCCCCTGTTAGGAACCGATGGCCCCGTCCTGCAGAGCGTCTTCGGTCCGTTACCTCAAGACAATGCTCGCGAGCCGTCTGTGCGGACTAACAGTCAGTGTTCGTTTCACTACACGTCACATCACATATACCTCACCTGATGACCATAGTGGATGTTGACGGACCTCCTGCTGCTTCGTCGTACCCGTCTGCTCATGTCAAAAGTGAAGATATTTTTTTACCGGTTGACGAACTCTAACAGTATCCTTCTGATACAGAGCACGAATAACATTTACATCAAGGGATAATTCTGTGTCCATCAACTCCGAAATCCATGGCTCAACGTGAACTTGGTTGACGCGAACGCGTCGACCAAGTGAACCTGAGCCGTAGTCTCTCAGTCTGTTTTGTGAATCTGCCTTGATGATAATTATGTCTCAATTCTTCTGAATCTGGAGTACTAGATTGAAAGACCAAAAATAATTCAAACCAGGGTATAGCACGAGGTACCAGGGGTGCCCGGAGGGCCTTGGTATTATGATTGCCGAAAATAAACAGTAAACTGGAATAAATCATTTCAGTAGACCCAAAAAATCGGAGCCCGAGACTCGAAATTAACTGGCTGATGCAAAGTTCAGAAAACGAAACGGAAAAAAAAAGAAAACCTTACAACCTTGTTATAACCTAACCCGGAATCGAACCGGGGTCTTCTGCGGAGATATCTACAGAACTTGAGCAGACACATTAACCAGCTGTGCCATCAGGTCGTTCCCAGCTTCATTCGACTTCAATGTCCTGACCTCCAGTCAAACTAGAATCCGCTGCGAAAATAATCAGGTTGAAAATGAAGAATGGGAGCTTCGAGGAGAGAGGAGGATGGCAATAGTAAAACCAAAACAGCTACACTGCAGACCTACATGTACAATGGAATGTTGAAATTTTACATGGACCGCACTTTGAGTAGATGCACTAACCAACTGTAGCACTGGATCTGCGAAACTGAACATCAAAAGTAATATTTGAGCATTATGATTGCCCCCCATCCAAAAAGGTAAACTGCGATGAATCGGTTCACAGGAATCCAGTAGGTCCCAGGGAAGTCGAAGAAAAGCTCGGGACTCGAAACTAACTGGGTGATGCAAAGAAATGGGTAAAAAAAACGTATACGAATCGATCGTATGACCTGACCCGGATTCGAACCAGGGCCTTCTGCTTATCATAACTGCATAAAACACTGTTCGCAGACGCACTAACCAACTGTGCTATCAGGTCATTCCCAACGTGGTTCAATATCAAAGACCTCTGAGTCCTATTTTTGACCAATTGCCCAAAAAAAAGGTAAACTAGAATGAATCACTTCAGTAGGTCTAAAAATATAGAGAACGGACGAAACGAATGGGCTGAAGCAAAGTTCAGAAAACAAACAAAAAGACTACCGATCGCCTATGACCTAACCCGGAATCGAACCGAGGCCTTCTGCCGCACTGATTGGCCCATGTACCTTCAGCAGACGCACTAACTAACTGTGCCATTGGGTCGTTCTTTTACGTTGAAATTGCATCGAAATCGGTCAATTCGGGTGGTCCGCTCGCTTACCACTCGCCTATTAAAAGCGGGCGCAATCACGTGCGTCTGACTCTTTCCAATTCATGGCGCCGAAAACGTCGTCAGCGTCGTCGGGGACGCGCAAGAAGCACGCCCGCAAAGCCCAGGCCGGCGTCGAGCCCTCCTCTTCACAAACACAGGAAAAACCAGAAAAGAAAGGGAAGAAACACCGCTCCGACCCGCCGCGCCCCAAAGCCTATGTCGCACCCATAAAGCCCACCGCCTTGAACCCGGACCCATTGGACGCCGTCCCGGGCCTCGCCGCGCGCCTCCCGCCGCCCCTGCTCGTCGTCCTCCGGTCTCTAGGCAAGAAAGCACCCGTGACAAAGATTCGCGCTCTGGAAGAACTACATGCGGGCTGGGTAGCGCATATCGACGCCGAGGACGGCATAGCGCTGTACGCACTACGGGACATGCTGCCCGTATGGCTGCACCACCTCCCCGCGCACCTCGTGCACCCCGCGCGCCGCGTGCGCCTCCTCACAGCGCAAACGCACGCCGCGCTCCTCGCAGCGCCGCTCCTGCGCCCCGGGCTCACGGAGGACGCGCCGGACGTGGTGGGGAGTGTGTGGTCGCTGGCAGCGCACGATGCGGAGCGCGCAGTGGCTGCGATCGCTTCCGCCCCGGCTGCACGGGTACAGCCCGAGGACAAGGGCCCGCTGTTGGCATTTTTGGAGAGGGTGCTGCTGCAGCCGGATGGGGCGTATAATGAGCTGAACCCGCCCGCCCCGGCACATGCACCGGATCCGAAGGCGAAGCAGCGCCCGACGGGCGTAGCGCCGACGCCAGCGCCACCACCTAGAACTAAGGGCGACGAGCAGGACGAGAGCGCGGTGGATCGCAGGGCGAGGTTGCGGATCGCGGCGTTTGGGGCGCTGCGGTATTTGTTGGGTATGTCTCCCTCTTTGCTCTTCCTTTCTTCCTTTCCTCCCTTTATCCTCGTTCTAATCGTATTGTATCGAACAGAAACAACTCCAACCCCCCTCCCCCCCTTCCTCGCCTCGCCCGCTCTCTGGTCTGCCCTCCAACATGACCCCTCGGACCCCGAATTTTACACACGAATAGAGAACCAGCTCCGCACACTCCCCAGCGACGACGAAGAGGACGAATACACGCGGTATCTGGCTGCGGAGGTCGCGCATCCCCCGCTTGCCTCGTCTGCGTCCCTTTCCTCCCCACCCGTTTCCGCCTCGTTAGCTGCTAGATCTACCGATAAAGAGGAGGAAGACGGCCCAAGTGAAGACACCCTCCCGCTCGGACACGCCCAGCCCGCGCTACGAAGGGCCGCGTGGGGTGTGTTGGGGGCTGTTCTTGGGCGTGTTTCGTCTTCCTCTCCTACTTCCTCCTCGTCTTCTGTTCCGCCTACGCACGCCACCAACGCGTCGTCTCGCGAACATAGCGAAAAGAAGGAAAAGGAGCCCAACGCAAAGAGAGGCACACTCCCCCCGCCCTCCCCTAACCCTCGCACACACCGCGCTCCCCGCCGTGTGGGCCGAGCGGGACGCCGGGGTGCAAAGGGTGATGTGGGGGGCTGGGTTGGGTGTTTTGAGGGGTGCGTTGTTTCTCCCTGTTCCGTTTTAATCTTTTTTTTGGGGAGGGGTTTACGTTTTGTGGATACTCGGGCGGACGCGGACGTTTCGAGTGAGGTGGAGATTAAACGCGTGGCGTACGGCGCGAGTGGGCGAGGGTTTCTTTTTGCGGGGAGCGAGGGTTTCTTTGGAGGAGGAGTGTCCCGCCGCGCGCACGGTTTTGGTTTTGGTTTTGGTTTTAGAGGGGATGGGGACCGTGCACGCATCCACTCGGTTTTGGGGTGGATGACGCAGCCTGGAGGGGGGTTCGAGCTGACTGCACTGAGGGCCAAATGCGTTCGTTTTGGGGCGCAGGTTTTGTGCATTTGAAGCTGGCATTGCTGGCGACGCGTGTATTTCCACCCTCTCTGCTACGCCGCCTGGACCATCCTACCCACCGTCCCGCCGTTTGTTGTTGTTCCCTGCACTTGCTTCTCTTTCCATTTTCATTTATTTTTTAAAACCTCTTTCGATCTCACTTCTTTCTTTGCCTCTTTCAATCTTATCTCGTCTCACTTCGCTCGCTCGCTGACGCCTACTCGCACAGGGAACCCCCAAACGTGGACGCTCGCCCCGCCTGCCGGGTCCTTTGAGGCTTTCTGTGCGTGTTTTTTTTTCGGTTTTGCTTTCCGTCGCAGTTTGGCTGCCCTTCAATCCGTCTTACTCCCTTTCTTTTTTTCTCCCTTCCCTCCTCCACCTTCTCCCTTGCGATCTTACGCATCGAACACGGCCTCCCGGCCTCCCCCCTCCTCCCCTCATCTCCCCACAACCCCCCTTTTTTCTTCTTCCGTACTTTCAATGCAAGCTAACCCCTCTCCCCTCCTCGTCCTTCACAGTATCGCACTTCCTCGCGCGCGCGTGCAACTCCTCCAGCAGCAACGTCCAGGCGGCGGAGACGGGGTACGCCGCGGTGGTGGTGGTGGTGGGGAGTGTGGGGTGGGAGGTGCGTTTTCTTCGTTTCTTTTCCGTCACGTTTGGATTTCGTTGGATTTCGGTTTTATTTTTTTTGGTGGACTTCGTTCGTGCGCCGTATTTTGGTTGGGAGCGCGTTGGGGAAAGAACGAATAGGGTTGGATTGTGGATATGAGATGGCGGGATCAAAGGTTCGGCGAGTGGGGTTATAGCCACCCCGCCTTATGGGATCTCAGTGTGGAGAACGGGGTCGGGAATGGAGACGGGGACCGAGCACGGGCTGTGGCTTGGGCGTCAGCCCCTCGCCTCACCCGTTTGCGTGTTCTTTCCCCGTCGTTTGCCGTTCCGTTCTGCTTCGCTTCTCCTTCGCTCTGCGCTCTGTACCTTTCCCGTCCCTCACTTGTTCCTGCGTTCCTGTTCCTTTTCTTTCGTTTTCTCGCTGTCTTTCTTCCCGCCCCGCCTTCCTCTTCTCTCCAATATACGTAAGTACACTAACACGCAACACAGATTCTCACCCCCCTCGACCGCCTCTTCGACGCCTTCTGGGCCGCGCTCGGGGGTGCGCCAAGGGTGCCTGGCTTCGCATCTTCGTCTTCGTCGTCCTCGCAATCTCAATCTCAACTCACCCCCGCTTCCCCCGACCCGACATCCACATCCGCCTCCGCCGCTCCCGCACAAACCGACCTACCCTCCGCCTCTCCTACCTCTCCTACCACTGCCGCCGACAACGACGCCGACGCCGACGCCGAACCCAACGATGCCACCCGGACTCGGGTACCTGAAATGAAACCCGTCGACGCCCCCGCCCCTGCTCTCACCACCGCCCTCCCCGGTGCGCGCGCGCGCGCAGGTGCGGCGTTCCTCGGCGCGCTGCTCGAGTGTGCGGTGTTTGTTGTGAGGCGGGGGAGGGTTGAGCGGGGGAGGGGGTCGGGTTCTGCTGCTTCTATTCCTGTTTCTTCGAGTATTGAAGTGGACGAGGGTGGGGGTGAAGTTGGAGTGGAAGTAGAAGGTGAAGGACAAGAAGGAGACGACACGCACCTCTTCGCGCGCGAGATTGCGAGGGTGTGGGTTGCGCTTGGGGGGCGTGCACCCTCGCTCAACTCGGCGGACACCAGCGAGAAGACAAAGAACGAGGGCAAGAAGGTGGGAGAGGAGATCAAACCGCGGCTGCACGTCGACACACGGCGCGCGGCGGGGATTGTGCGGGGCGCGTTGGGGGCGGCGGGCGGTGTGGGGGGTGGTGAGTTTTTCTTTTTTTAGACTTTTATTTCTTCTTCGAGTTTTACTTGTCTTGCATTTGTACGATTGGCCCTCCCGCGATTCCGTAGTGCAGTATCCCTCCATGGCGCGCCCGAGTTATCCTTCGCGCCAACTTTATAACGACGACTAACCTTCCTTCCTAGACCTCATGACCGCCGGCCTCACCACGCTCGGCGCGTGCCTGCGCGCAGGCGGCCCGCCCGCGCTCCTGTGTGCCGTGCTCGAGGCGCTCGTTGGCGACGACAGCGCTACGCCATCCGCCCCCTCCGCCGCCACACTCAATGACGACGAGGCTGCCTCTGACCCTACAACAAAGGAAGTAGAAGTACAAGCAGACTTGAACGCGAAGAAGCTCGCGATCGCCGCGCGCATCCGCACCTTCGGGCTCGCCTTGCGGACGGACGTCCTCCGTGCGGCGGTGGAGAGGGCGGACGCGCCGTTGCTTGTGAAGGCGTTGGGGATGTTTGGGGGCGGGGCGGGAGTGTGGGGCGGGGGAGGAGGCGTTGGGGAGGTGCGTTCTTCCGTTTTATCACGAATCGAGTTGTTTCTACTTTCCTACGACTTTTTACATTACTCGATCACCCCATTTATGTTAATCACAGAACGAACGCTGACCCTCCTTTCACAGGCCCTCGACACCCTCCTCTCCAACCGCGCCTACACGCTCCTGCTCACCGCGCCTTCGCTCCTCCTCGCGTACCTCGCGCACCGCACAACACATCGCCAAACGCTATGGCGTGCGCTGCTCGCAGAGGTGGCGAAGCACCCCGAGGCCGCGGCCGATGCGCTGGGGATCTTGGTGGGCGGCGAGGCGAGGGCGGCGGTGGAGGGGCTGACGGCGGTCGACGCGGAGGGCGAATTGTCCGGTACAACTTCGAGTGCAGATTCGACCGGTACAAGTACAAGTACACCGAGCAGCCCGGAAGGTCCGCTCGACGCGCTCTTCGCCGCCATCTCGCCCCTGCCCGTGCCCGTCCCGACCCCTCTCCTCGCACAGGTTCTCCAGCGCGGCGAGCTCTTCTTGAGCCCCATCGCGTGGCACGGCGCCCTCGCGCGCGTCGTCAGTGCGTTTGCGGCCCGCGTCGAGGCGGCACTCGTCTCTCCCGTTCCCGCCTCCGCCGCCGCACCCCTGTCATTCTCGGTTTTCAACGCGGATCTGCAGCTGCTCGCGAGCGTGCTTGCGGGTCGCCCCG